GTTTAGGTAAACCTATCGCAAATGACCCGTTTTTTTATATTCAGATTTACCGTTTTGTTTTATTGTTATTCCTTAAAAGCCTTTCTAATATACAATGAAACATGTTACTTTTGTTCTGCGTAAAATTGCATAAATTGTAATCAATATTTTTCTATTTCTGACTTAATGTAAATGTATTTGGGAGAGGATCTTTACAAGGTTCATAATGACATTTGCGCAGTCAATCTGCGTCATTGACGCAATAACATGTACCTGGCACAGTATCACAAAAAGTAATTTATAATTAAAAAAACACTAATAAAAAATAAAAATAAAAGATTCATTTGCATGCGTTTTCAATAGCATAATAGTGACAAAGTATTGAACTGTTTTGCTCCGAATCAAGATTTCCGTTATACATATATGTATAAGTCGACTGCTGAAAAATAAACTTACAACACTAGATTACCAAAGATGCAGGTTAGTGAAAACTCTGGACAATGACGATTACGGAGTTTTGTAGTTTGGGTCTTGTGCTTTAGTGCGGTGGTATGTACAGTGATTTTTTGTATATTGATTTCTTCATGTAAATCTTTCCTTTGTTCATATTTTGCCATAGTTTCATCGATATTGATTTCAAATTATGGTTTTGTTGACATTCAGGTATTCTCTGGTTTATTTTCGTATGCATAATATCAAATAAAGGTGTTTTCAAATCAATTATATCAAGAATATTTCCGTCAACTATTTTATATTCTGTTCCATGTTACTTAGATTTGCTAATTTTATGTTTGGAAAACAAAAGCTTGCGTTATATTTATGAATAACAGATAACGTAGACATGCAAAGTAAGTATAAATCTATGCTAATCACAATCATTAAGGGATGTCTACATGCATGTAATATACAATACGTCTCCGGCTCTGACTCCAAGGACGCACTTTGGGACTGGCGTATAAAACGTCCTGATCAGAAATAGATCGTCGTGCACGCGAAAGGATAGTTGTCCTACCGCTAGACCGCGCATGCAACGCACGCATGCACACGTGATTACAACGTGCACCAGACTCAAAAGAGAAAATGTATTAATTTGAAAACATTGCGCGGAGAGGTGTATAATTGTATGTTGACAAAATGTAAAAGGGAAATGTGTGGGATACATATAATGGTTCAGTGTCTAATTGCAGGCAAAAAACTGGAGAATTCCACTGTAGTTTGTCAATTATTATGATACAGTCACATGTGTACTTCCCCTTAATTTCGTTTTTAATATACTTACATAAAATGTATATGTACGCGTAACTGTAGCGCGACCGGACCGGGGTACTTACGTTGAACAGCTACTTCGTCTTGTTACGGTGACAGTATAGTGTTCAGATGTCCACAGTACGAGTTCTCGGCCTGTATTCATATGAAACCTTTCTAATGCCCAAAGCCAGATTCTGTATTCGAACTAATTTTGTGCCAGTGATTAATTAATAAAAAAAAAAATGGCAATGGTATGTAAGAAATTTGGACAGACTTCAAGCCGATTACTGTTTTCAATGGTTTCTCTTGACTTTTTACCATGTGACATGATCTGATGGAGTTACAAAAAAGGTGGTTTGAGCACAGAATTCTTGCTTGAGCATGAGAACAGTTTCATAAATACGGGCCCTGGTCTTGTCCCGAGGCTTTTTTGACACCCAGACTACTGCTTTTGTTTTCATTATTCGACGAAAGATTCCCAAGGGGTACCTTTTTCAGAAACGATCTAACAAAGCAATAGTCATGTTAGAAAAGAAAACACAATACATGCATGTATTAACAGTGGTACTGGGATCCTCAATAACACAGACAGTGAAGGAAGATACCGAAGCATGAGGGTCGTGCACTAATTTGATCTGCTGTATATGAAGTCCTCTATACCCAAACACAGTGCTTGGCGATGTCACTAACCTCATTTGCCGTGTTTTCTAGACTTCGATATAATTGTTGGTTAGGGATTTTGAGGTTCTTACTCGAGAGGTGAGCCGAGTACGTGATTATTTAAAAGTGTTGTGAAAAGACAGAACAATTCGGTATTCTCTTTGGCGTGAAAATAATCATCATCATCATTATCATCAACTCATATACCACATATACACCATGACAATCATCATCATCATCATCATCATCATATATACCACATATACACAATGACAATCATCATCATCATCATCATCATCATCACCATCATCATCATCATCATCATCATCAACATCATCATCATCATCATCATCATCATCATCATCAACATCAACAACATCATCATCATCATCATCATCACCACATAAACACAATGACAATCATCATCATCAGCAGCAGCAGCATCATCATCGTATGTTTTTTAGCGTCCTCATAATATCTTAGGTCATATAAAGAGAGGTTGCTATGGAGACACATCCGTATTGAAGTGTTGCTATGGAGACATGCAGCAGATATTGTTGTTTCCTTAATGTTCCTTAAGCAGAAGACAAGATGTTCCCCCTCCCCTACTGTTTTTACAGGGTTTCAACATCAGTACCTTTAACAATAATAAGTAGTCGGATAGTACAAGCTTCATCCTTGAAATTCAAGTAGTTACGTTCTTCGATGTTTCATGCACAAAGTAAAAGAGCGTAACCCCTAGATTTTTAATGATGTGATGTATATGGTCTACGGTATTGAAATTACGCATATCATGTGGATTAAATACTAAAAAGGTTTGAGATATCTTTTGGTGTCATTAAAGTATTGAAAGAATTTACGGCTTTGATTTACAAAATTAAAGATTTTTGGTGGAGCGGGGAAAATACTGAATTGCTTTACGCACTTTTAAAAGGTGCACGAGCAGCAAAACCCCCCAAATCGTCGTAGGTACCACAAACTAAATGTTATAAAACTGCTAATTGTCTAGTCTAGATTGCTATCTAGGGTCTCTGACGTCACAGAGTGGGAGTCTGCTCATTATGATTACGACGTCGTAACGCAAGCAAAAGTGAAAACAGAATCTATCGTACTTTAAGCTCATAGGATATCGGTGAAGTTACGTTCGCATGTTAGACGAACACTTAGGGGATACGGGCGTAGACGTTTATATGGGGGTATTTCTTCAATCGACCTACCATTAGTCTCAATAGTTCTGCTCTCCAGTCAGTGATTAAGAGAAATATTTGCCAACTCTATTCTTTATCCAAACAAAAAATGCAACCATTCCACAATCTGACGAATGTTGATCAAACTAATAACGCTGGGTAATTGAATATTGAGAAATATATTTGTGTGCCAATATCTTGTAAGTTTGCTTCTTACTGGATGTAAACCGAAGAAAGTAAGTATTTCAACCGACTTGGTTTACGTTTAATAACCTATATTAACTATGTTCTTACTCCAGGGGTCAAAGTCTGGTGAGCGGTCCAATATCCGGTTCAAATAGATATTAATTTTAATCAACACCAAACAATATAATATCTGTAGCGATGTAAACATATTTCAATCTCCGTGAAATTAATTTCTGTTATGGGTTGGTGTACTAAATTTGCCCTCGTTCTTCAAAGCAACATGCTTATATAAACCTAATCCCATTTCAGGACCAACAAAAAGTCGAGTGTAGTAGTTCGAAACGAAGCAGGAAAGCAATTTTCCGGCAGACTGAATAGAGGATATGGCCAACTCTCCCACGCAGTGAAGTGAAAAATTAGAAGGTTTGTGTGACAACTTGTTTTCGAGTTGTCTCCGTTTCCATAGGAATTCCCGCGCTCCGTTACAGGAAGCGGTAAATCTCCATCTGGAAAGATATTGTGTTTGGTGACATGTTTGCGCTCACTACCAAACACGATTAGCGATACAGCTGCTGCAGTGCAGAACATTTATTGTATACACAGCGAGGGTCGCGTTTCCGAGAGTGTACGTGAAAAAAAACCTGCAGTTGGCTAGGACGCTTGTCTCAATAGGTTCGAATGTCCTGTTAATCCGCGTGGAAGAGACGTCAACCTAATGACCACACAAGACATTTCTGGAACGTCTTTGACTATCCTGGACCAAAAACAACAGACTACTGTCTATCTCTTCATCTAAAATTAAATATCTTCTAACACAATCTGATCCGAAGCGATGGCTGTGACGAATAATGACAATTACGCACATTCTCAAACCACATTTAGCATTGATCTTACATTGTGAGTAGGATAGGCTATCACCGTAAATAATCTATTCTACGTGTAGATTTGTCGTAGTGAGTCTTTCATACCACGATAAACATCGTCATCGTTCATCGACTGTGGACGTTATGCTGATGTACTCATTTGACAAACACGCTTTTTGAGCCAATACTGGTGTGATGAACTCTATGATTAATGATTTTTCTTCACCACGTCAAAAATTGTCTCCGTGAAAGATTGAACGGATCTGATCAGAGAGTGGAGTTTTACATCGGTGTGTTTGATTTGTCCTTAATTCACGAAACTTTCTCTGATTTATCTAATCTACCCAGTTGATCATTGATTTATACATGTCTCCTTCAATCAGATAACTCATACCACGATGCTTTAGTTTACCCAGATGCATGAGCATTGATTTTCAAATACATGTATCTAGATGCTGGGTCGTATTCTTGCGATAGACAGTCGACCTTCGTTTTGGTGCAACACATAATGTATCTGTTGTATCCCTGAAAAAGACACTTTTCCTTGGAGTGTCTTATTTAACGATGTTTTACTTTATACAAGCATATATGCCTGGACGTATTTTTGCGAAACACACGAGTTTAATGCTACGAGTTCGTATACATGTACGGAGACCTCCGTCTCTAAGGCCAATAAGCTTGACAGTTCAAAGAAAAGAGAAATGAATCAGAATTTTTCATATAAAGAAAATCGTAGAACGTTTTGTAAGAATATAAGTTCAATCCATACCCGTTTTGACAAACGCGAGTAAATGTAATGAATCTCACTGGGTATGACTACGTCATCGCTTTTAATAATAGTAGTTCGACACTATGGGCACCACGTACGTGTTTCATAATGCAGTTTATGGGCTGTATGGGCAGTATGGGCAGTATCGGCTGTATGGGCTGTATGGGCAGCATAGTCTGTATGGGCAGTATGGGTTGTATGGGCTGTACGGGCTGTATGGGCAGTATGGGCAGCATAGTCTGTATGGGCAGTATATGCTGTATGGGCAGTATCGGCTGTATGGGCAGTTTCGGCTGTATGGGCTGTATGGGCTGTATGGGCAGTATGGGCTGTATGGGCAGCATAGTCTGTATGGGCAGTATGGGCTGTATGGGCAGTATAGGCTGTATGGGCAGTATATGCTGTATGGGCTGTATGGGCTGTATGGGCTGTATGGGCTGTATGAGCAGCATAGTCTGTATGGGCAGTATGGGCTGTATGGGCAGTATAGGCTGTATGGGCAGTATATGCTGTATGGGCAGTATCGGCTGTATGGGCTGTATAGGCTGTACGGGCAGTATCGGCTGTATGGGCTGTATGGGCTGTATGGCAGTATGGGCTGTATGGGCAGCATAGTCTGTATGGCAGTATGGGCTGTATGGGCTGTATATGCTGTATGGGCAGTATAGGCTGTATGGGCAGTATAGGCTGTATGGGCTGTATGGGCAGTATGGGCTGTATGCGCTGTATGGGCAGTATATGATGTATGGGCAGTATAGGCTGTATGGGCAGCATAGTCTGTATGGGCAGTATGGGCTGTATGGGCAGTATGGGCTGTATGCGCTGTATGGGCTGTATGGGCTGTATGGGCAGTATGGGCTGTATGCGCTGTATAGGCTGTATGGGCAGTATAGGCTGTATGGGCTGTATGGGCTGTCATATACACTCGAGGAACCCTGAAAATCCTCAAAGCAACACAAAAAAGACAACATCTATCTAGACCAATCCAGACAGACACGTGTATGTGATAGAGTCTGGACTCTCTTGACCTGACCTCCGAAAAGCACGTGTATGTAACGGAACAACATTTCTGTCTATAGTCCAGTCCATCAGATCGACAGACGGGGGTAGACAACCAAACATAGGCAAAGGGGGAGTACTCCCCGCTAACAATTCGCCCTGTTCAATAGAGAATTTTGTTTGTATGTTTCCTTTTTCATCCGATTCAACCAGAAGGCAATTCAGTTACTAAACACATTAAAATAAGATGAAAAGCATTGATAAGACAAGAGTTTGGGAATAAGTAAAGAATGACATGCTTATACAAAGTCTATACAAGCTAAATGTAAAATATCTATATCTTTTGATGAATTACATGGTCTCAGACTCCATTCAGAAAAAGTTAAAAATAAAAACCTGAGGAATCTGTCAAATATCATATCTGAATGGTAAACTGGACTTTGTTAATTACTTTTGTAATTAATTGATAAAACAAGAATTGATGACACATTTGAAATATGCACAAGAATTGATGACACATTTGAAATGTACACAAGAATTGATGACACATTTGAAATGCACACAAGAATTGATGACATATTTGAAAGGTACACAGTAATTGATGACACGTTTAAAAATCTCACAAGCATTGATGTCACGTTAAAAAGGACATCAGAATACACGCATTGATGAAACTCTTCCAATTCTGATAAACAGGTTAAAAAGGATATCAGAATACACGCATTGATGAAACTCTTCTAATTCTGATAAACAGGTTAAAAAGGACATCAGAATATACGCATTCATGAAACTCTTCTAATTCTTATATATATTCAAGTTATATCAATAGAGAAGTTTTAACAGAGGGAAAAAGGAAAGTCAATCGAAACATCTGCGTACTTGAAATAAGAAAATCCTGTTTACAATTTATTACAAACAATGATTAATACATCGCCTTTCATTTGCTCAACTTTCCATGGTTCTTTCTCCATATTGTAGTTCCATTGTAGCATCTCTGGGACCAAACTTTTAATGGGTATTTTTGTTTCACGTTTAATGTATTGGGTTGAAAACGCCAGACAGCTCTTCAATGTTGTTGAAAAAGTTCCAAACTTATCAGTAAAAGGATCATTGTGTCATATTCCAGTGAAATACAACAACCGTCATCAAAGATAAAGTCAACCCTGCAATAACCCGCAGCCGTATCTTCACAACTAAAGTCTTGATTGCAGTGTATTTCCACAAGTGTCCAATTAATCAAGCAAGTATATGTGAAGTATATGTGTGTAATTAAGATAGGATCGTGGACATTGACCGAGACTCGGACTACCCAGGAGTAAACAGTTTTTGTAAAAGCCAACCACGAGACATATCGGAAGTGTTTTGACGTGATGTCATTCACCTTTACGGCATTGCATACGAACGCAACACGTCTAGGAGATTTGATTACCTAGTCAGTTTTAAAACGTCTTTCATTCAAATTTACAAAGACGAAATATTTCAGAACTGCATTAAAAAATGAAAGATTTTTTTTATTTCTTGTCTTTAGATAACATCTATATCCTCTATGAGCAAGCCAATGTCGTTATAAGTTTTAGATATTTGGAAAACAAATTACATGGAAAAAGTGTGTTTATTAAACCTTAAGCTTACCAGGCTTTACAACATATTGGTCCTCAGATAAATCGACAAAATAATAACTGTCACAGAGTTTCACAATTCGTCTGTTAACGTATTAAAACGTGTAAAAGATCCCTTGATTGCCGACAATACAGGACGTCGTTAATATATCATTGATATTGTTAAGTTTACACCCATTTTAGCAGAAAGCTTTAAATTACGCCATTATTACAATGTCGGGCGATAAATACACAGAACTTACTGAGTCTGGCGCTCACATTTTCTGTAATGTAAGACATAACATATAGTTTGTGGTCGGACACGTGATGTTAGGAAACTATTAAGAATACTACAATAAGTATTCTTAATCATTTCTCTCTCCCGTCATCGTTTTAATGGTTTCCGATAAAACCAGCGCCTGTGACAAACCAGCCATTACGAGGGGTATACGTATTGTCTATTTCCACTGAGTCAATACGCATTCTGTCCGTAATGACATGTCTTCGATTTTATCATATCGATATTCTTAGTTTCCGGGTTTTAGAAAGGAGACGGATCCTGCTAGTCTTAAACTCAAAAATACGTATGCTGTCAAGAATATGAATCCTGCGAGAAAGTCGTGTTATATTTCCCGAACCCGGTCTTGTATGTAGCACTGATATATATATATATATATATATATAAACCCTCTCTCATAGCGATCAGTGTGTGCGCGAAGGGAGGAGGCAGATATCGACCCAACAATCTCATTTGTGACATAACACCTTTAGGAATTAAGGAGGCGGGGCTTACATCGTAGCGTTGAGCCAATCAGAGTAATGATTTCATTGTGAAGTGTAGTTAGATAAAATGGAATACAACATTTGCTACACGTGTTCCGTGCAGCCAGAAGCAGACCTGGTGTACATAATGTATAGCTGTGCTGGGAGAAAACTTATCAAGGTTTATTGTCGGTAATTGCAGAGGCCCACCTAGTGCGTTGTGTGTGCGCTCGTGAGTTACACGAACGGTGTGTGAAATTACTCTTTCAGAATTTACTTGGACTTTGTCCTGAACGGACACGTGTTCTTTTGATAACAAAGCGCACTTGAAAGTCCGTTGGTGAATGGACAGATACTTGCATACTTACAAGTATACATGGATTCTGTTTTAAACGAGCACGAGGACGTCTGACATAGCTTCTGTTCGTGTCGATTGTTCCTCCGACCTTTCGGAAAACACAATGATTATTCGCGTTAACAGGTACGGAATTAAGTATGAAATCTATTTCTAACTTACTCCAAACTGTACACGCGGAGTTTGCACTCTCGTATCATCATTGCTATGTGAATTTGAAATACGCTGATTCTGGAAATACTATCCTGAGAATTTGTTTTCGATGTTGAGGTTTGGTGATTTTGTATACCTGTGGGTTTTTTACGTAGTATATTCTCTCCGCTTCTGATTACGAAACTCCAATTTAGGATCACACATTGATACTTGGTACATGTTGGCATTTTAACGTTTTTGTTTGAAATGCTATGTTTCAGATTTCTGATATTTTCTCCTGGCGATTAGGTTAAGGAACTTTTGTATTTTCAGGAATATATTCAATAACGAGTTATGTGGGAGTGTCTGGTATTATGTATTAGGCTTTCGAGTGCCAGGTTCCAATACAGTGCACCTAGTTTATACCTATGTTTTGAGGGAAAATAGCTAACAATTCCTAACAATTCCTAACGCGCTTGGTAGCAATTGCTTTTGACAATGCGGGTATTTTTTTGTATTCTTGTAAGTTGATGACATAAGGGAATAGAGTATTCTGTTTTCATGTTGCGATAAGGTGGGACATTTTTGTACTAGTTTTCCCTCCCTGGTGGTAAGAGGAAACACGGGGGAATGAAGTCTACACCGTTATGGCATGGAAAGACAGCTTATTTCATACTTGTTATATAAGAGCATAGACTCATTTTTCGTTTTTAACACTTTAATCATAATCACAATTGCTGTATTGCACCCTCCAAGCTCGTTCTTCGCGCTCTTTCAAAACCTTTGCCGATTTTTGTCTCGCAAATTTCAGTATCATACAAGTTTGATCTTATAAATATGTTAACGTGTACTATTACTTGATATTTAATGCTGCATTCATGTCTGAACAGTGGTGACATATAACAAAATGTATTTCATTAGAATCTTGAATAGTGAAAATGTCTATTCATCAGTTATTCAAACTATATGCCACTATCATTGCAATACTTTGTGTACGCCTTTACCCTTTGTCTCGCAAATTCCAATTGTATAGTAGTTTAATCTTGTAAGTTTGTTAACGTATACTATTTGTCGGCACTTGATGCTGTATGCGTGTATAGACAGTGACGATATGTAACCATTTTGTCATAAGCATTTTATATAGTGACAATGTCTTTCAATTAGTTTTTTTCCTAACTATATGGTACTTTTGCTGCATAGCTTTATGAACGTTCATGTTAATTTCGAAATTGATTGTTGCATTTGTCTTGCAAATTTCAATATAATAGTAGTTCAATCTTATATTTTGTTAACGTATAATGTCAGTTGGTACATTGTAGGTAACGCATGGATGTATGTATGAACCTTGAACGGAAAGAGTGTCTTTATGTTATATCCTGTTGCCAAATACACTAAAACCTCGATATACTGTCACCATTTATCCAGAGACACGTTGGCATTGTAAAAGGGTTTTGTGATAATTGGGGGGAAAATCATGAAGACAGTTTAAGAAAGAGAGATAAAAGTCCTTGGACATATGTTGGCGGTGTTCGAGTGAGATGACAAATAAGACGAGGGGCAGTATATAGGGGTTTTACTATATTACAACGATATGTGATAACTCTTTTCTGATGACAAGACAGAAAATATATTTCAAACGATCACAGACGTAAAATTTAACCCATGATACAGTATAAATCAATAATACAGAAAAAAGAAAAACGTGTTTGCGGATCTCGTTAGAGAGGTGAAACAGAACAGACACTAAAACAAACATTCTCCATTTCTTGCCGTAAGCATTTGGATCCTTTTGACATAAGCCTTTTCGATTTTTGTCTCCGACAGATTGGAAGTGTAACCGCGATGACAAAGCTGTGGTGATTCTGTTCGGCGTCCTAGTTTGTCCGGAGCAGTCTCCACTGGTGGGATAAACCTCATGCAGAAGTTTCCTAAATGTAGACATCTAATTTAAGGAAAGATAAGAAGAAGAGGAATTCGTGTGCTTCGATATATTCTACTGTTAATCCGGAACCTTGGTTCGGAATTTACTTTGACGTTATGTTGTCCTTGAACAGGATTTAGACCTTTTGTTGTTGTTTCTTCTCCGGAATTGGTATTTCCCCCCCTAAGGAAGTGTGTTTAGTGTTTAACGGTAATGTTATCGCTGGGCATTATGAGTGTCCAGACAATGTTTAGCATTTGTTGGACAGTGTCTTTTTTGACTTATACGGCAAGTATAGTGGTGAATTATACGGCCGATATTATGCCAACTTCATTTCAACTGACAAATTATTCAACAGAAGCAATTCATTCTACCAGCCCCAGATCGACTGATCCAAACGCGGACGTTGTTGCTATGTTTTTGGAGCAAGTCGAAAAATACGAACAAAATAAAGAAAATTGTACAACTGGTACACAATACAACCTTGGAAAAGGAGTCATCCAGCAGTACGGAAAAAACAGATTCAAACCACAGGCCCTTGTGTCTGTCAACCGCGCCAATTTTCTGACCAGAATATGGCGCGAAGCAGGAGCACAAGTGGTCGCTTCGGAATATCTCTTTTATTCGCAAGTGCGCAACATGTTGGAAGGTGATCCGGAAATATTCGCCGCTGGAAACTGCTACGATTATAAGGAATTTAAGAATTACACAATGTTTTGCCCGTACGCTTATCGGACCGACGACGGAACAATTAATGTAAAGGACTTGTCCATTGCTTACCCTTATCTTGGAAACGACTCCGAATGGTTCCATTCGGCTCGCATGCGGGCTAGCAAAGTTCAGAACTTTAACTTCACTATAGGTAAGTGCTGTATTTTCGTTTCTGTTAATTAACTGTTGTAGAACGACTGCATCCATGCATACAATATATAAACGACACCAGCTGTGACATTCATATGGCGACTAGACGCACGATCGATTTGGAAACCATTCACATAGCGATACACGTTTGACTAGCCTTCTGTATCAACAAAGCTGTAAACACGTAAAGTGATTCATGATATAGAGGCGGTCTATCAGAAGTTTGACTTCTGTGTGTCAAATGCACCGTATATACATCGTTTAAAATGATAAAATGTTTATTCAAACTACTATTATATCCATGGAATTTTAATCACATACGGAGATTTTTGTACGGGTTATGTCCTGGTGGATATTCTTTTCACTATATCACTCGATGAACATAAACAGCAATATGATAAAAAGATTAACACCCGGTTATTAGGGTGATAGCTGAGGGGTTAACAAAAGTGATGTCACCCTCATAGCAAGGCGATAGATATTGGATAAGTGTTTTTTTAAAATTTCATTTTTAAACAAATAGGGATTATACAAGTAAGTGATAAACACTACAAATGCACTTGATATAAAAATATAGTTAATTATCTTAGGATGTCGCACAATTATTTTACATCATCGTACTTTATAGTTGGATATTTGCAAGTGTGAAACAGGCAATTCTTACATGTTTATCAAACCTGAATATACGTTACAAATAAGCGTACGCTTGTCCTTAACAGAATAAACAATATGTATTTGTATATTCGTTAGATGTAAGAAATATCCACAATCCCAGTTTTAAATAACATTCATGATAGAGCAATTCAAAGCTTGTGTTACTCTTCTACTGAATGGCAAAAAGGGCACCATTTCGTTTGACATGCTTTGACCTAAACCAAAGCATGTGGTTTTTGTTCAAGCTGACTGGTTGGACCATCCACATCCTCTTTGTAATCTCTTGGGGTTTTTCTGACTGCTATAGACTCTCTAATAGGACGCAAAGCCGATTTTTTCATGTCACATTGTACTAAAAGACTTGCACGTACTTCAAAAATTACCTTTTGAGCAAACTACAAATATATATCGTTTTTAAATGTCGAAATTAAGAAATTGTTAAAATTGGATGACGTTTTTTATTCAAAGAGATTATTATATTCATTCATTTCAAAAACGACGAGGATGGCAATTATTTCTCCTTGTCGGTTTACCTCCTTTGAATATACCTGCCATTCTGTTGCACACATAAAGACACAAAATACGCAGAAATAGCGATTTTTGTTTTGACTGTGATATTCTGACGTCTATAATGTAAGACGTTTGACTACATAACCATTACATGTAAACATTGTACATACCAAAATTTAATTAGAAAATAAAGCCATGTTTTCTCAAAAAAGACAACACCTTATTGTGATTGCAAATGACATGAAAAAGTGTTTAATGTGATAGTTTAATACTTTGGGTTGAAAACCTGTCATATTTAATTTTGATTTTTTGTTATTTCCCTTCAAATTTCATTAGATCATGACTGGCAAATGAACAGTAGGGTTTCGTTCATTTTTATCTCATTCTAGTAGCAAAGCATGTAAAAGAGGATTTAAAATTTTATTTTTTTTGTTGTTGTTCGATTCTGTGAGAAAGAAAAGCTTCCCATTCAAAACACAGCTCCATAATGGTATGTCATGGTATTTCAAGGGTTTCATATAACTGTATCCTTTTATTTTTACGGAGCTTGTACTTTTCAAATATCCACGAACAAATCAGGATGGTAATTACAAATGGCATTTCCTTATCATAGGGTTTTATTTCTATGTTTCGCATTTGAATATTTTTAAAACAGGGAACTATCATATACATGTATTTATATTCTGCTCTCAACTCTTGCGAGGACGGTTACACATAAACAAACTATATTTTGCTCTTATGGGTTCGCTACAAGAAGTATCTGCTTATTAGCACTCCAAAAAACATTTGTCCAATGCCCCTATACACGTAACAACTACCTAGGCACATTCCCGTCTGTTTCAAAAGTTGCAGTGGCAAATTTGGATTTTCCAAATGTTTTGCCCTTCGCATCACTGACGAGTCCTAGAATGTCGAATCAGCTGTAAGATACAGTGCATATCATTTCTGACAGACTATATATATTACCAAATTCTGTATGTGCAACTACCTGTGTGTGTGTGTGTATGTTTGTGTGTGTGTGTGTGTGTGTGTGTATGTGTGTGCGTGTGTGTGTGTGTGTGTGACATTTATCTTTCTGTAAAGATTTGATATGTACAGAGCTGTGCGTTCTCCGACATGACTAAAACCGAACTTCAAAACACCAAAGCATCTTTCAATAGCTCTCACAAAACACGTCAGTCCTAGTACAAATACGTATAGCAACGTACAGAATGGTCCCTCTAATAGAATCGAGCACTATGTATCCCGTCTGAATGAACGTAAAGGACATAACCGTAAACTGAAAAATTATTGTTTTCGTAAGGGACTCAAATACATGTTGGTATGTAAAAGATACCAAAATATCTTTGTGGCGCTTTAAATATAGCACTTGAGGTCTGCAGCGGCAGGAATCAGGTCCGTATTCAGAATAAACCTTTGTTTCCACCTGGGACCTAAACAGGCTACAACTCTATATCGTTCGTAAAGAAACGAATCTGTATGAGACTCTACCAGAACACCTCTTGGTCAGTTCGATAAGACTAAAATCCCTGCGTAATTACAAAGAAATATCTTTGGGGGCTATGGCAAAACTTGTAGTCTATCCCAAATGACCCAAATAGGTTCAAAATATTATCAAAGAAACGCCAGTTTATTTATTTGAGAGTTTAATTAAACACGTGGATTATGTTCGATATGACTCAAATCCATGCATCGATCTCTAACAATGGTCGTAGTCTGTCCAGTAAGAGTCGACTCCTTACGGCAAAGACACCCATGCATCTCTACGTGGTTCTCGGAAAGTATCCGTTTTCTCTTTATGCGGACTTCAATATTTAGTGCTGTATCGATGCACAAAATGGTCCTTCTGATAAAACCAAGCACAATGATCCATCTCTGGAATATAACTTATAGGACGTCTCTGTAGATTAAGAAACTAAAAAAGTGATTTTTTAGGACTCAAATCCGTATGCAACAGAAACTACTGTATCTGTTTTAGGGCTCTATCAGAAAACCAATAGTATGCCCAAAAAGACTCAAATCCGTTCTTAAAAAACCTTTCTGGAGCACTAAAAGAAAAGTTGTGGTCGATCTGACTTAGCCCAAATACCTTTACATATATAGATATATATGCACTAAAACACCGTTGTATCTATTTGGGGCTTAAACCTATATATATATATGAACTTGCAGTCTGTCCGAAAGGACTCGAATCTCTACGAAAAACACCGATGCATTTACATGTATAAGGGGCTTTAACAGAAAAATGAAGTCTGCTCGAAAGGACTCGAATCTCTACGAAAAACACCGATCTATTTACATGATTAAGGAACATTTAACAGAAAACCTGAAGTCTGTCCGAAAGGATTTTAATTTACACGCAAATCACCGATGTATTTATATGTATTAGGGGCTTTAACAGACATATGTAGTCCGTTCGAAAAGACTCGAATCTCTACGAAAAACACCAATGTATTTACATGAGTTAGGGGCTTTAACAGAAAACCTGAAGTCTGTTCGGAAGGACTTCAAACTACACTCAAAAACACCGATGTATTGACATGTATTAGGGGCTTTAACAGAAAAATGCAGTCTGTTCGAAAGGACTCGAATCTCTACGAAAAACACCGATCTATTTACATGAATAAGGAGCATTTAACAGAAAACCTGAAGTCTGTCCGAAAGGATTTCAATCTACACTCAAAAACACCGATGTATTTACATGTTTTAGGGGCTTTAACAGAATACTGTAGTCTGTTCGAACGAACTTGAATCCCTACATAGACTATACCAATGCATCTTTAAGGGAGGTCTCAAACAGAGCACATTTATCTGTCCGACTACACTCGAATACGCAAATAAAAACAACAATTTATCTACCTGCGTCTCATTAAATTTGTTATATGTCCGATTAGACTCAAAGCTCTACGTAAACACGTCAATGTATCTATTTGGGACTGTAACAGAAAAAAATTGTTGTCTCTCCGATAGGACTCAAATACATATATCAATGCAGGGAATGGTCCCTCTGATAGAACTTAAAAGTATTTCTTTTTTCTTTTAAAGCTCAATAGAACTAAAACCCGGACGTAAAAGACACCAATTTTATATTTAGGTACTACATGTGTAGCAGTCGGTCCGAAAGGACTAAAATTCATTTGAAATGATCAAAAGAAAAGAAAACGCCAATTTATATATTTTTGGCTATATCAGGAAAATTGCAACCTCGGTAGGAACTGTGGAATCTGTACCGAAAATACATCAATACATCTATCTAGTTTGGGCGCTCATAATACTTGTAGTCTCTACAATTGTAGTCAAATCCATACGAAAAAGACATCAATGAATTTCTTTGAGCTGTAAGAAAATAAACGTCCTAGTATCTGTGATAGGACTGAAATCTTATGTAAATTCGCAGGATGGTTTCTCTAATCGAACATTTTAAAGACGTCCCTGTAAAGAAAGCAGTAACAATTTGTTTTCGTTAATACCTCAAATACGAATGTCGTGTGTTTTCATGAACGTCGTCATGAAATCTGTAGCTATCGATCTGATAGTGTGATATCTAAGGCTACAGACGTGTCCCTCGGATAGAACTAAAAACTGCGAGCCGTGAGCCTCAAAACACGTAGACGATAGGAAGAAGGGGGAGAAATAGTAGGTCTTGACTGGTTTTATTTAAACAAGTATTGCAGACTAGATTGTATAGACAGATATCACGTAGGCCTTAAAAATATCTGCAAAAAAACTAGGTGTTCAGAACAATGCTTTTTATATCGGGCACATCATAAATCTGTCTCGTATCTGTTAAAAATCAGCACATTCGGCTGATCCTCTCACCATAGTTCGCCTGAGTAT